GACTCAGATATTTTAAACCACTTGATTCAGAAATGTGTGGGCTTTTTATCCCCCTTTTAGTTTAATAATCTCAGGTGATTTCCAAAAAGAAAGGCAAAGGGAGGGCTTTACTCACTAATTCACCCTGTGACAAATGACTGTTGAAGTGCCTTCCGAGGTTTACAGTAAGGAGTTGTTCCTTGGAATTCACCAGTCAACATGACAGCCAGCAGTACACAATTGCCCAAGTGATGTGTGGAGGTGTTCTGTATTATCAGGATCTCCTTCCTTCTCCAGATAGGTGGCAATGTTCATTTAGGCAGTAAGCACACCAGAACGGAAAGCTGATTTTAATTTAATCCTTTAAGTATAACCAGTGTAAAAAGAGTTCTTGCACAAAGGTAAAACTTAGCTCTACAGTTTCACCATGAAGTATATATTGTAGCAAAATGATTCAAATTTTCATCTCAATGCAGAAGCAGGATTTGAAATGTACTTCCAGTACTAGTTAATGTATTGTTACACAGAAAAGAAAAAAAAATACACAATTGGAAACTAAATTTTTGTTCCGTTACTGTGAAATCGTAAATACTTATTGCAACAGCACATAGAAAGTTACGAGGTCTGATGCTTTGAGGTTGGAGGTTGGAAAATGTATCTGGTTTCTATGCTAATTTTTTGTTCTTTCTGTTCCATTTGTTGTAAGTGATTTAAGTGGCACAGTAATTGTGATTTTTTTCCTAGAACATATAAGCTCTCTATACAGTGCTAAATTTCAACAGGAAGTAGAATGAGATAGGATTATAAAACAGATATTCATGCTTGCTGAATGACTTGTTCATACAACAGACTGTATTAGTGCAGCAATTCAACACCAGAATGTGTACTTCATGGTCCCTTAATATCGCTAGAAATATCCAGCATGGATAAAATTTACCTTAGTGTGCAAGGTCCAAAGAAAGCCCAACACACTGCTTAAATCAGCAACAATATTGACTATTTAAAGCAGCAATATTGACAGAACATCAATGCTTTTTTATTTTTAATTTAGAATATTTTCTTTACATCTCTAGTGTCCTGTGGTTTGGCTGTCCTGAAGTACATGGTAACTATACCTGTACACAAGAAACCATTTTTTGTGAATAACTTCTTCACTGTACCTTTTCAGAGCTTACATGGGAATCTAAAATAGGCTCTTTTCTCCCTTCCTCTGAGGCAAATTATTTACTAGCTTCAAACATGTCAGATCTTCACTAGGTTGGATATTTTCTACTTTTATTTGTGTTGCTCTTCAACACAGCTGGTAAGACTAAGGATTTATGATCAGTAGGTTTGTGAAATGTTTTATTACATAATTTACTGTTACATTCACAAGCTAGTGAAACCTCACTGAATTAGCAGGTAACTTGTATTAATCATTTAGTTCCCTCTTTATTTCTGCTCCCTTCCCCAGCAGCCAAACTGAAAGACAAATTGTATTAGGATGGTCAAGAAACATCTCAGACTACCCAGCAAATCAGAACAGTTTAATTCAGTTTCAGACACTTTTAGCAACGCAAGCAGTATGTGCAATTCACAAAGGGATATTAGCTATTTTTACAAGCTTACTGAAAAAGTCAATGACTCAATCTTTCCTTTGCCCTCAGCCCAGTGACTGGCATATTTATATGGCCAGAAGAAATCTGGTACACTCCCCTACCTGCCACAGAACTTACTCACTTGACACACACATACGCCCAAGTTACTGGGCCAATCTTTTACATGCTGTCCTGCAGAGGCTTTCCAGATGGAGCCAGGCAATTTTAAAACATTTTATACAGTAACAGGAAAACAAGTGAGTTTTTACTCAGAGTTATCTCAGTAAATTAATATTTAAATATTAGTGTAAAATGTGTGTACTGTAAGCATCAAGCTTCTTTTCTGCAGTTTTCGAAGGGAACCACGTGCTTTGAAACCCTTCAAAAACTAAAACTGGCTTAAATATTCCAATTTTTTTTTTTTTTCAGGAAAAGTCACTCAGTAAGTTCAAGAATATTAATAAATTGTTCAAAACAATTTATTTACTGAGCAAATGCATTTGCAAAGATTCACCACATTCTTATGCACACAGCAACTTCTTTTATGAAAAATAATATACAATCCAATTTGGTGGTTTGCAGAATGTTACAGCCCAGAACCCATCTGTTACTGAAGCCAACTGCAAAGCTGGTTAGTAGTCTAAGCCATGCAAGCAGAATTATTTTTCTGGGCAAGAAATGCAACAGCAATTAGATGGATGTTACTGTACTGGAGAAGTATAGGTAAGAAACTGTCCATGAGCTGGATATCCAAAAAGAAAAAGAAGCCTGAGTGAATCTCCACTAAAAAAGTCCTCATGAAAAAAAATGAAGACTAGAAATCTGTCTCCAAAACAGGTACAGATATAAGAACAGAATTCCTGAATCAGAGTCCTTGCTACATGCACCTAAGCATTTTAGCATATGTGCATTTTAAAAATGAATGTCATCTTCTAGAAGAAATAGCTGATCTAACTTTCCTCCCAGGGAAATGTTCTCAGTAAGGTTTCAAAACTGGGTACTATGTTTACGTCAGAAATACATCTTTCAGGGAAAAAAAAAAAAAAAAAAAACAACATCATTTCAATCATGTTTATTATTAAATACTACCATATGACTTATTGGCAAACTATGCTATCAAAACTGTGCTTTGATGACAGGGAATCCTGAGTGGTTTGTGGCAGATAAGAGAAGTAATTCCATCTCCTCTCCAATTTGAAGAATCAAAAAGCATCTGAAAAGACAGAGATGGACCATATGCATCTCAGCTAGCAAAAAGTGAGCATCTTTCCAGAAGGGCCAGAATGGAAGGAGAAAAGAGCGACCTCAAGGAGGAACAGACTGGGAAGATCAAAAAGAGAAGGGGACTGAGACAGAAGACAAAGAGTTCAGCCTGTAGCAGACCTGAAATTTCCAAACCACACAGATGGAAAACCTGTAGTGGAAATCTTGGTGGACTGACAGAGTTGAAAGCAAGTGGAATGAAGTTGCAGTGAACTAGAAATAGGCAGAAAGTCATTTCCAGCATCTCTGCCAAGGGCAAATAACCTCCTAGAATTAACTGTCACTTGGTTGCTTGCCACTGTGTAGCCATACTACAAGGTTACTTCAGCTGTATTTTGGTGTTCAGATATTCCATTCATAGTTAATGTCCCTTGAGCTGAAGGGGTTACAAGCAGCACCTTTGGCAGTATCTATATTGCACCTTAGAATCAGAACAGAATACAAAACATGCACTTCAGCAAAACCAAACCTGAACCACTTACATAGGGCGCAAAGAAAAAAAAGCAAACAACTGAAAATAACACAAACTTACTTGTGTACTACAAATCACGAGTAACTAATAAGTAGCTGATCTCAGGGTCCCCACAGGTCTGCAGCCTTTCTCATTGAGTAGTTCCTCAAAGTACACTTGATGTCCTAGACATCCCACTTGACATTATCTCTATGCAGCATATGTATGCTTTTTATACAATGGATAGTAGCAAAATACCAGCAACATCGGATTGGATTAATATATCAGTGTTATCCTCCAGTACAGAAAAATAAAAAGAATCGGGGCATACAGAAAGTACCCTATTGTAAGGTGAAGAAACAAAAGATAACACTCAAGATTTTTGAAGAATGGGCTTTCCTCAGTTGCTGGAGAGCTAGTATCAAAAGAGACTGCCACAGCAACTTGCAGAGCTGGAGGAAAGATCGCAGCTATCCCAGCCTCATGTAAGCCACAATTCTGACTGCACTGCTGGAAAACAACTGCACATCCTTCCTGCTGCAGTGCAGCTGTATCCAGCCCCAGCCCAGGATGATATCTGAAGATCTAGAAAGCCATTTCCATGAGCCATTTTCAGTCCCGGGTTTGTATTTTATATTTCAGATGTGCCAGAGATTTTTCTTGCAATGATTGTGTGAATATTAATGAAATAATTAAATAACCATTCATTTTCCACTAGTGCTTTGCTATAATTTTCCAACAATAACCATGCTCTATAATACTGTTACACTATAATTCTGCTACCAGCATTTTTTTAAGGATTATTTATTTTCATTCTGCTAAGCGCACATAGACTCAAAATAGAAATTTCTGCAGCTAAATGGATGCTGTGGTTCCTGCAGTTGCTTCTACACTATTTTCTGCTTGAGACCAGATCATGCTTCATCCATAGGAGGTAACTTTTATGAAGTCCAAGTCAAGCAACTGGTATCAGGGACGTGATCCACCGAAGTTTAAACTAGAGTGGGAAAAGCATAAAGCCACACAGTGGTCCAAAAGGGTATATGAAGAATATTTTATTTTAGTCATTAAAACTCTAGTTAAGTAAATAAAGTTGATAAAATAAGAAAGGTTGCGGGGTTTTTTCCTATTCCAGTAGAGATTAAAATGGAGGTATCGGATGCTAAGATCTACATCTCCTAAAATCTCAAAGAATACTGCAGTCAGAAGTTACAAATACAGAATATACTTAGTTTACTTATTTTTCTAAACTATAAAATCCTGCTTTGATAAACATACTCTAACTCTCTCCATCATGTAGTTACAGTGCTGTCATTTCCAACCAAGAGCATTCAGTTTTTGTGACCATCTCAAGATGTCATTTAGCGTTTTGTAACTGAACATCACATCAAAACGATGTCTAACATCACTTAACTGCTTCAACGTTCTCCCAAGAAATGGTAATAATTAGTCATATATCTGCATGGTCTTGTGATTACCCATCCATGAGAATCCATCTTTCCTTAGGGAAGTAGAGAAAATCTAAAGGACGTAAGGAGCGTTAAAATCAAAGTTTCTGGCTGCAGAGTGAAAGGATCTGAGAACGTAACGATGCTGAGTTAGAACCAACACACCACGCCGCCGTGCATCTCCAGACGCTTCTGCTCTGCTGCCGCTTCACCGCAACAGATCGTTACTACGGGGCCCGCAGACCCTGTTCCCGGAGGCGGGCCGGGGTCACGCGCACTCACCTCTCGTCGCTCTGCCAGCCCTGGTCGCCCAGCAGCAGGTCCCGGAACCGGTACCGCGGGGGCAGCGGGGGCACCTCGCTGTCCAGGTCCACCATGCTGCCCGGGGGAGCGCCGCA